ACTAAAAACAAAATAAAATTAACATTGAAATGATCTTTCAGGCAAGCCCGCTTTGTGCAATAGAGAGTGGTGACAGGTCCCTTTGCTCTGCCCTCCCAGGCAGTAGCTGGACACCACATCTCTCTCCAAACTGGTGAGCAGTACCCAGCACCATTTTAGGTGCATGAGATACCCTGCCTTTAGCTACCTTAGTAGGGGAAAATCCCCCCACAATATCATGTTTGGATGGAGCACAGTACCAAAGGAAGCAAAAGTGCTGGGCACCCATCTTGGAGTGTGCCTAACTAGACAAACAGGGGTTTGTTTCCTCATGAGCATTTCTGTCAGGAGGAGTAGAGTGAGCGTGATCCTGACCACCTTCCCACCCCCATTAAAGCAGAGTTCCCCTAATTTCAGCTGGACTGGGATTTGGCTCATCCTGCTTTGCTGGAAATGTTAACTTATTTTTTGGCTGTGGGATGATATGTCACTACCTGCTGAAAGAAAATTACTTAAGTCTCATGTAATTCAGGCGAAATAAGAAACAAAAGTCTCTCTTCAGCAATCAGTCTAATGAAAAGGAATCAAGAATGTGTTGATTTATTTCTCATTTTTGTGCTTTTAATTTTTATCAGTTATTTCAATGGCACATACATTGCCATTGCACTTTCCTAGTTGTTGTTCTACCCGAGTGTGTAATAAATGCTGTGCAAGAGAAAGAACAATGCTTTGAACTAAATGTGCTGTTAAATGAAAGTCTTTTCTTGAGCAGTGAAAAAGTCCTGAGGCTTTTCATAACAGTGTATTGTATGGTGAGGCATACACTGAGATCTTTTTCTTTTTCACCCTTTTGAGAAACAGAGAAAAGTAAAAGTATATAATTTCTATCATTGCAAACATTCCTAGATATCTGCCACATAAAACACAAAGATTACCCTCTCCCAATCACTCCCAATAATGTAGGTGGTCCAGTATTTAAAGTTGTCACAATGTTTTTGAGATACCATTACAGGAAATCAGCTGGCAACACCTCAAACCTTGCCAAATTATCCCAGAAAGAAACGTTCTGACCTGTTTAAAGAACTTAATGTGCATTTTAAAATGAATCCCAGGGTGTAATTTCCTAAAGAGTGGACTCCAATTCTATTTTGTGCTCTGAAGAATTCTATTAAACCTCTAGAGCACTTTGTGCAATGTGAAAACACAGCTTGCTAAGGAGATAGCCTAGGTGGTCTGCAGTAAATTAAACACTACTGCTGACTGAGGCCATACCAGGGAGTTTGCTCCAAGGGATTTCTCCACTTACAGCCTAACACCATTTACCAGCTTCTAAACTAGATTTGCCCTCTGGCTGCAAGTCAGCAAACCTTGGTGTAAAGCATGGCCAGAGATTAGTTTGACTAAGGGCTTCATTTCAGGAGTGGAATGGTGCTGCTGTTACACACAACTGAGTCCAGACCACTTACTTACAATAGGGTTGTTTTTCCCAGCCAACTTCTTGTAGCTGAGTTTTAGGCTCCTGGACTATGGTGGCTGTATGTTGAGTAAATATCTCTCTGTTGCTTTGTAACAATTAACCTCAGAAAGGAGCTAACTCCATTTGCATGGTAATGAGGCGTTCATCTAAGTGACATCAGAGTTAAGCATGCTAATAAGTTTTTATACAAACACCTGAAGGGTCAAGCACAACCATGGGCTTGGATAAGAAAACCTTTTACTAAATGCAAATCACTTGTCTTTTAAATCCTATGACAGAGAAATTTGCAGGACTCTAACACAGCTTGCAGGAGTTATTCAAGTTACATTTTCAGGCCCCTGGGCTGACTAAGGAATATAGCAACTGATTTTTTTAATACTTGTCGTATCAGTATTAATCAGAATTAATATCAGTATCTAAAAAAATCTTCATTATGGCATCAAAGGAAAGAAGTAGTACAGGAAGGTAGAGGAGTGAAAACAAGAATATTGCCATATCTTTCCCAAATTTGTCACAGATCCCTGGGTTGCTGGGAGGAAGAGGAGACATGGCTGGTGTAGAGCACAACAAAAGACTGGGAAATTTGTCAGCTTTCCATCTCATTCACCTACCTGTTTTTGCCAGGTATATTGCTATGGAGGAAGATCCCCTAGTGAGCATGCTGTCTATCTTGCACTAAAACTTCTTGAATTCAATCAGTCAATTCACATTCTACAATCAAAGAGTTTGAGACCTTAGCGAGTGGTTAGGTGCAAGGGCATAACTGGCTGCCAGACACCTTTGGGACTAAAGGAGCAGAACCTTCTCACAGGTAAGGCAGATTGCAGGACAAAGGTTGAGGGAAAGAAGCTGCCTTTGATTAATTTAACTGTGGCAGAGCCAAGTGTAGGAGGCCTCTCCTGGTCAAGAGAGGCTGCTAGCAGGGCAGACCAGCTCATCCCGACAGCGCGGGCAGTCCCAGGGGAGCAGGTTTGGTCAGTGGTAACAGCAGTGAGATGCAGACAGCTCTCTGAAAAGCTGCCCTAGTGCCAGATCGTTAGAGGTTTTGCTCCCAGACTAGAAAATGTGAATTTAAATATCCAGTGGGTGTAGTGGGAATTGATCTGTCTTTAAGACAGAACTTTGTAGAAAGGACTGTATCATACGGCTGTCTGCAGTAAGAGGGGACTGTGTTAAAGCACAGAAAGTCCTCTTCATTCCACTACTGTATGATGAACTACTTTGGGGAAAAGCTTGGGTAATGTATGATAATACTACTACTCAAAACACAAAATGTAGTCCAAGGGACCAAGTGTACACATCCCTGGCAGTGTTCAAGGCCAGGATGGATGGGGCCAGGAGCAGCCTGGCCTAGTGGGTAGCATCCCTGCCCATAGCAGGGGTTGGAACTAGGTGTACTTTAAGGTTCCTTGCAATGCAAAACATTCTGTGATTCCATAACAAAATAGAATGGATCAGACTGACACCTGGCACAGAACTACATCATTTCTTTTAAACCAGGTAACTATGATCTCTTTGCTATATGCATTAAATAACAGCAACACAGTAATGGTGTGCTTCCCACAGATCCCTTTTACTGCAGAAGTTACTGCCGTTTTCAATAAAAATTAAGTATCTTTACTTTACTGCTGTCCTGTTTATGACAAGTTAAACATGCTAGTATGCCAAAATCCAAAACTTAAGCCAGTAGATTGTGGAAAAACCTTCGGAAAGAGAGCAAGCTTCATGTGAGAAAGTACAAAGCTGTGGATAACCAAACCCTCAAAACGTATCTTGACAGAAACCTAATATTCCACTTCCTCTGCAAATCAACAAAAACTCTGGGGGAACAGCTCTGAACTGCCATGACCAGTAAAATGCAATAATTGCACCACCCATATGTCTTCAAGGGCATCAAACAGAGTGAGACCTCAGCTTGGTGAGGCAAGGATTCAGGATGTTAGGAAAACAACATTTAAGACAACAACTATGAGCTATAATAGTGCAAATGGAAAAAAAAAACCAACTGTGGTGCAAGATGAGCAAGATAATTTTAAATAATTGCTTTGTAGTTAGGACAGCCTGGCTCCTTTCACTGTCCAAACATTATGAACTACAGCTACTTACTTAAAACTAATTCAAGTTAAATTGGGGGTTGTAAGGAGCAAGGTAGGAGGTGCATATACAATACAGACTCAGCTTTTTAGGAAGAAAAGCTTATTTCTGAAGAAAAAATCAAAACTGAACCTTTTAGCCTATTTTTAAAATTCTGTGGTAAAAATGAAGCTAAGAGAAATTATAAGATGGTAAGCATCACAAACATACTGGTTTTAGCCTCACATGTCAAGGTTAAAATTACCAACAGACAAGACCCCAAAAATGTAAGTTTAGGGCTAAGCTGATGAGAATTAGGCCCTAATAGTGTCAATTAAGTCTGTCCATCCAAAACTCCTGCTTCACTGCTCAGATTTCTAGCTGTGGGAAGCAACTGTGGCAGCAGCAAAAGCCACAACCAAACTCAATGCTACAAAGAGTCAGTGTCCAAACATGTACACACTCCTTAGTGCACCTCCAGGTTTGAAAACATCAATTGAACCACTCAAATCTCAGCATATTACTGCCTTTCAATTCAAATTTAACAAAAAACCCAAACCAAACCACATAAACCCACTAAATTCATACCCTGACATATCAGATTCTTGGGGAAAAATGGGCTCTCTGAATATATTGCTGGAGGAAAAATACTACTAATTATGTATGCAGTGCTTCTCCACTGAATGCTTTGTTCAATGTTTTCAGACAAAATACCAAACAACTTTAACTGTCTGAAATCTGCTGGCTATTGTCATAAGGAAACAGGCAGACTGACAGTTTAAGACATGATTACTTTATTTGTTTTGCCACTTTTTTGCTGCACTTCTCCAATCCAACACTAGGAACACAGAAAGACAAACACTAGAAAGGGGAGAGATGCAGATCATTCTGTTAAAGGCATTTTTTGTCTTGTACAAATAATCACTATTGTGCTGCCACTGGAAGATGACTAATATTATTACAAATTCATATATTTAGTGAGTGTTTCTGGGAAAATGAACACTTAATAGTAAGCAAACCAAAAACTTTATGAAAACAGAAAATAGGATCCTACAGCTCTTTACTGTAAAGTGATCTCTGGAACACCACTGACCTTTGGTGGCCGTTTCCACTGACAACTGGTATGCACATTTCCTTTCCAAGAATCTCCTCATTACTACCCAAAAACTCTGACACTCAGAAACAGCTTAGGAAGAGAATAGTCTTCTGCTTTGCCAGGAAAGATTACAATGCAGAGGAAATGCACAGTATGGTTTCAAACAAAGGCATTTCCTTTGAACTCTAGTATAGCTTTTAGATATAAAAATCTTTCCCTGACTATATTGTCCCGACCTGGCTTCACTGGTCTTAAGACTAAATAGTAAAAGACTTCAAGGCTCAAGCCTATGTTTACTCTTTTCACAGTTTTGGAGTCAAAGACCATAACCTCTTTTCAAAAGAAATTTGTAAAAAAAAATGTTTTGTTCCATACCTCATTGTGATTCTTGCTTAACCATTCCTTAATAGTGCTAAGGGCAATGACAGCAGCAGGCTCATTTGGAAAACCTAAAACGAGAAGAAATGAGAGAAAAATGAAAGGCATATATTTATTTTATATATAAAGAAAACAAAAATCTGGGCTTTTCTTCTTCCTCTTCTTTAAAACATTTTGGAATTATAGTTGGTCAACTCCCTTCACAGATTTGTATCAAGGTTTTAGGGAACATCTGTTCTGTTTCTCCTCAGCTAAATAAATTGAAAATAGGGACAACAATGCTTTATTGGACTTTTTTTTTTGTTTACTTGACTCTGGTTAAGAAAAGTCCACTGCTCAAGAGAAGAAGAAAAAACAGAGAGCTAAACATGTGTCATACCAGGCAGGCAACCATTCAACACATATATCACAGTAACAAATACTAGGCTTACATTGCATGGCAGCAAGAAAAATTCAGACATTTCTTAAGGCATAAGGGCTTTCTTAAGGCTTTCCCTCTTTAATTCATCTGTCAGCAAAACTGTGACCCCCGTGCCATAGGCTTTATAAAGAGAGAAATGTTTGAGTTGGAAATCTCTCAATTTATGACCTAAATCATAACAAACAGCTTTGGAAATTAAAGAATTCATGAAGCATAAGCATATGAACTTAAGGCCTTATGTTGCATGATACATTAGCAATAGTAATTCCCCCCAGCACTAAACAATACCAAAAAATCTTTCCAGGGATACAGACCTTTTGCTTTGATGGTTTCTACCTATCAAATCCAAGGATGCTTTCGTTACTTAGGCACCTTAATTTAATTTTCCTTTAAATTCCTAACTTGGGGGCAGCGAATAATTTCTATGAGGATTTAAAAATAAAACCCCATAAGCTGCATGAATCGCTCTCAGTAGGTGAGATTAATAGAACAGGCTTTGAAGAGGTGGAGCTGCAGGCACAGTGGACAAGCAAGCGACAGGGTTAGAAAGGGTCATGAAATTTGGCATGCCGCTGTGTGGATACAGCCTTTCTTACAACATGCATCACCCTTGCACCATAAACTGAAACACAGATACTGCAAAAAAATTACATATTTTCAGTTTTTTGACTTATATCTTCTTTAACCCTTTTTCAGAACTTGTGCAATGTAAGATTAGGGAAAAAACCCAACCCAAACCAAAATCCCTGCACTGAATCACATTCCAAAAACATCACTCCCTGTAAATTGGCTCTGCAAAGATCTGCTCCAGCAGCATGTGTACTGTTTTGAAGTGACAGATGACAACCATTCATCAAGAAAATCAAGTAAAATAGTAAATTTTGGATAATACCAACATGTAGCATGTGCTCCCTTTGAATATCTTTCTCAATAAAGCATATTTTTACATTTAAAAAAATATACTTACCAAGTCCAAGATAAAAAAAAAAACCCAAAAAAACTAGCTTAGACCCTACAAATGTTACTGTGGATACTTCTATTGATGCTCAGAAAATAAATTCTTATAACATTTAATAATGCTGCTGATATCATCGAGGCATATGTCTCATGACACCAACTAACGACCACTAACGAAACCCAAAGCGGGGACTTCCAACAGCCTCATTTTCATAATATAAAATAACAGAGCTCTAAGCAGACCATCTGCTCAAATTAGTAATATCCTAGCTAACAAACTGGGACTTTTTCACATAGAAATTCCATACCCTGAGTGTGGTAGCTCTGCCTGGACATAAAATGAACACCACGCAGAGGGACAAATGCGTATTTCAGACAACTGATATACTATTGTTTATGTGCTGAATGGTTTATTTTCAGAACAATTCTCCCTCCAGCAAGATTAACTTTTCAGGCTTGTTTTTCACTCCCTTGCAGCAGGTTGGCCAGAATGGTGATAAAGAACTGGGGATTGTATAGAACCTCTCCATAAATTGTACACTGTTTAGAAACTGCTGCCATACTAACCAGTCTTAAATAGAACCTTATCTAGAAAACTGGTGTTCAATTACTACTAAGTCACCACAATGTAAAGGAAACAGTTCAGCAGCCTAAATAAACAGCCTTGAATTCTGTGTACGATTTCAGAAAATATGCTGAAATCCATCAGAGCCTTCTATGATCAGCTACCCCCCAAAAAGAATAATCTAATTAGCATTTTACACACATTTCTGGTAATTTTATGGAAAGGATTATTTTACTGATTATATGCAGAAGCAGGATGGAATTAGCCTCCTGTTACAAACCTTGCACCAGCACAAAAGCCCCTGTGTCTCTAACTCTCAAATAGAAAAACATTTTTGTTTATAGGACTGGGTTAAAGGAAGATAGAGCGAGATTGGGCTCTTTTAAAATACGCTTTTGCATTGTTTTTATCTCTAACCTACATTTGCCTGCCATAACATTTCTGGTCTGCTCCCATGTGCACCCTCATCCCCCCTTTCAGCGAGAAAGCAATCTCAGGAAGCACGTGGGAATCAAATTACTGGAGAGAAATGAGCTCGAGGTGCCTCACAGTTTACTGACTGCTGGAGCAGCAGCTCAGGCAATTCTGGCTAAAGGCTCAATTTCACAAAAGATAAAACAGGTAAAGTAATGAGTGACACTGGGCCATGTTACTGCAGTGAGTGCTCCTGCAGCATACTGAAAAGGACAAGGGCACAAAAAAAGCACACATTGGCCACGAGGTACAGGACTTAACTGTGTTTATGTGCCTGGAGAAAGAGAGAGGGTTGGCAGGTTGTATGTCGTGGACAGGTGTGTGGTGAAGTGTACCTACCCACAGACACAGGTATCTAACTTGGACTGCGCTTTCTACGTCCTCCACTGCCTCAGAGAACACCTTGGCCACATACCCAGCTATACCACAAAAACACTGCAGGCTGTGTCTGGTTTCTGAAGAGCTGCTTCAGCAAGTAAGAATTTCACTGCCACCATCTGCATTTTGCAGTACCAACTGATCATAACTCACCATCCACTACCAGGATCCCAACTCCCCAGGTACAGCAAAATCCTGGATACAGACAGCCACTCCTCTGGTGTCCCTCAGTTCAGGAGTCACCCTTTACAGCATAGCTTTCATCATCACAGCTGATGGCACAGTGGCTGCAAGCCTTCTAAGTCAGTAGGAACGAGGGTGTACACCCTGCTACCATCGCACAAAGCACACCTCATCCGAACTCTACTGCTTTGGTATGTCTTTGCACAGCCTAGGAAAGCTTTCAGAGTCTTCAGACTTAGAAGATTTTTGCAAGTCTTTCCAGGGCAATATCAACTTATTCCTGGAAATTGTAACCCTGACCTGCAAAATGGCTGGCAAAGCAAGCTCTAGGCTGTGAGAGTCCTTGCAGTCAACATGGCCATAATTTTCCTGCAAAGGCATGGTAAGATATGGCAGAATTATTTTTATGTATCTGATATGATGTAAACATGCTGTTTTAGAAGAGAAGAGTGTGGAGAAGAACTAAGATAGTAACTAGAGATACACACTGACATTCCCATTACATTTTGTATTTATTCCCTGAAATGCAACTTGTAAGAAGCTAAGTCCCTGCTCCATCAAAGTACAGAAAACACACAATTAATTCCCTGTTGTTAGACACCCTTGTGTAACTGCTCAGTCTTTTTTGCTTGGGGGATTCAGTGGAGAAACATTTACTCAATTGTGAATATCTGTTACTCTTTGTCCAATTTATTTGTGCAGTACCAGAAAAATGTACACCAACCCATAGAATCATAGACTATTCTGGGTTGAAAGGCACCCACCAGGATCGTAGAGTTCAATTCCTGGCCCTGCACAATGTTCTTCAAAGCACAGCAGTGCAACAAGGATTTTGTGACACAAAACTAACAGAAATCTATTTCAGGGACTCCCAAACTATGTGGAGATGCTGGCAGCTTTATCTACCTCTTTTACTGGTCTTGATTCAATCTTACAGAAAATGTCCAACCTATAATCAGGTTATGCCACCTCCCCATGAAAAGCCCATTAACAAAACACAGGTATTAAATAATCAAACTTTAATATGATCTATCGGAGGATTAAGATAACAGATTATAACAGGAGGGCTGTAATACTAACAAGCAAATGTCAATCCAGAAAAACCACTTCAGTCACTGTAGGCATAAACGTTATAATTTGTCAGTTTAACTGAGATGCCTAATATTTCCTGTAAATTAACTCACCCTGGCAAAAAAAAAGGTCTGTATTCTTTTTTGTTAGCACAGCCTAAGTGCTAGGCAGGTTTTTATTCATTTAAAATACGTTTCCTTCTCCATGGATTCTAAAAGGCTCGTCACAGGCTTAATATTCTTATTTGCCAGTTTTAATGGTTTCATTTTGAAGCAAATCATGAAAAGAACCAAATGCACATCAACACAAATAATCATTATGTGTTTTCATATTTTCTTAGAAAAATATCTACACTGGCATATTTGTGCATATATCAAGATGTAACAGTTTGCAGACTGTTCCTGTGTGCTAAAATCAACCCTGAGTCCCACAGCTTAATCAACAAGACTGTTAAAATGGAAAAACTTCCACGTTTTAAGTTTATAAATTTGTCAGTATGTTTACAGATATATAAACGATGCTCTTCAAATAGTAGCTTGTCACATTTTTAAACTGTGGGACAGTATTGAAGGCCATCTCTGCAGTCAGCATGACAGGGTATCTCCACCATGCATCAAGTATTTGCTATGTGGGAATCATCAGCACCAGATGGCACGGAATATAAAGATGCTTTAAAGGAAAGAAGAAGTGGGAAAGAACAGGAAAAAAAGGTACTAAGCATTTATTCCATAAATGTTCTGAAACCCAGTATTATTACTGGTTCTGTAAATACCTTCTGAATCACAACCAACACATAAATAACTGTGCTTCATTATGGCCATGTGGGTTAAGGACAGCTATTGACAACTCAGATGATAGTGCTCATGACAATAAAAGAGAACAAATGCACAGCCCAGCATGACTGAGGTAGGGTTAACTCAATACATCCACTTGTCCTTCAGCTGTGAAATAAAGAGAATAATCTTGCAACTGATCCCATATAATCATCTTGTCTAAGATGTATTTTAGTAGTCAAAATGAAT